GACAGGATCTCATTCAGCCCCATAGAGAAGGCTGGCTTCAAACTCACAGAGATCCACCTGCCTCTGCCTTCTGAGTGGTGGGATTAAAGGTGTGTGCCATCATACCAGTATAAGTATTTTTTTAAAGATTTAACAATTGTGTGTGTGTGCATGCACATGACTGCACGGGTTTATGTGTGCCACGTGCATGCCTGCAGAGGCCAGAGTTGTCAGACTTCCCTGTAGGTGAAGTTGCAGAGGTTATACGTTTCCTGATGCAGGTGCCCAGAACCAAACCAAGTCCTCTTAAAAAGGAGTAAGCACTCTCAGCTGCTCCAGCCCTTTGCAGAAAGTAGTTTTCACTAATGCTACTACCTCTCTCTCTCTTCCCTCCATAATCCCCATACCCTTATACGCTTCCCAGTACCTACTAAATAAGCTCTGTACCCAGCTCTCTACATGGCGTATCTGTCTGTCTCCCACCCGCAGCGGGTCCTGCTAGGTCGCCTGCACCGCCATGAATCTTGCATGGCTCTGCCTGCGTAGCACCACTTGCTTCTGATGTTGCTACAGTTTTCAGGCTGCTTTCCGAAACCGTTTTCTCTGTGCTGCAGATGCAGTTGTGCATTTGGAAGCCAGGCCACCGTATGTCACACATAGGTTTCCACATTTGCTATGATAGAGTTCAAAGTCTGTCAGCTGAAGAACATCTCTAGGAAGCCAGGGTGGGTCATGCCTGCAGTCTCGGAATTCTAGAGACAGAGGCAGGGGGGATGGCTGTGAGTTTGAGGCCACTCTGTGCTATATAATGAATTTTAGTGCAATCCAGCCTGGACCTTAATATAAGGCCCCGTCCAAATAGTAACAACAAAGATCTCAGTAAGCCTATGGGGAACAAAAAATTTCATTTTTTTAGATGGTAACTGCCAAGAATTTCTCCAAGACATAAACTGTTAGTTTGATTTCATAATGTAAAGAACAGTGGTCAGACTTTAGTCTCCTGTCTTTGTTTAAGTTGTGTAACCTGGAGCCAGGAGCTGAAAGAGGTTTAAGGATGCATGTCTGTGGAATGCATGAGCCTAAGATGTATATGATTTAGTAAAATCTGTTGAATACCCAGCTCTCCCTTGGGTGTTAGCCCAGCCAACAAGCACTATTCAAGAGGTTCTCCTTAATTAGGCTCCACATTTGCGGAGTGATTTCTCACTAGGAAGATGTTGCAGGCAGAGGTAGTATAACCAAGGCTCAGTTGGTGTGACAAAAATTGTGTTTTATTATGCTGAGAGTCTTCACACAAGGTCCACACTCTTAAGTTCCTAACTGTGATCCTAAGCCTATTGCTCCATGGCTGCTCACCCATGTGGCATGTCCTAGCAGGCAGTCAAATCTAGTCTCTAGTTCAAGGGTCAGGATCCCAAGGGACACTCTTCAGCAGCAGGACAGATAAGGTGGCATCTCTAGTCTTTAGCAGTCCTGAAAAGGTAAAGAGTGCTATATCGCCCTTGGTCTCTGCTGATATGCTCTCGAGTGGGTGTCATTGGGTTTCTGCTCAGAGTTGTATGCCTGGTTACTTTGAGTAACCAGTGGTATCACTGGTTCTGGGTTCTGGTTATTAGGTACAGCATTGGGTGTAGTGGGGTTCCTGGCAAGGCTGTCTCTGTGTCTTCTTTCTTTCTTCCTTCCTTTCTCTCTCTCTCTCTCGCTCTCGCTCTCGCTCTCTCTCTTTCTTTCTTTCTTTTTGGGGGAGAGTGATCCTGCAAAGAGACAAGGATGAAACTCTATCTAGACGAGTTTTTAGACACCAGTGCTGGGCCAGGGCTTCTAGACCCTGATACCAGATCATTTACATTAGCCATAGTTTAAGCACAGCACAATTTAAAAAAAAAAAAACCTTTTCTGATAACAACTATTCCCAAGTGTACAACAAATTTAAGACATATTTACATTGAGGGTTTTTTGTTTTTGCTTTTGTTTTTTGAGGCAGGGTTTCTCTGTAGCTTTGGAGCCTGTCGTGAATCTCACTCTGTAGACCCAGGCTGACCTCAAACTCAGAGATCCACCTGCCTCTGCCTCCCAAGCGCTGGGATTCAAGGCATGTACCACCACTGTCTGGCCTCCATTGAGATTCTTTACAAAGTCTATCTGGCTTCTTTCACAAGAATAATGACAGTTGACTCAGAAGTAGGGATACTGACTGAGGGTAAACAGAACGCCCGTGAGAGTCAGGATTGGCCTGCCCCAGAATAACATGAAGTTCCTTAGGCTGTTATAAATTACAAGTGACATCACTCATAAGGGTGGGTTTTATGGCCCAGAAGTAAGGTTTTAGGGGCAAGAGTCTGGGATTAGTAAACCATCAATTCTGGAATATACATACAGGGCAGAGCCTGGCTCATCAGACAGCAGCTATAGACTCCATCATTGCTTGCACTCCAGGAGGGGCAGGTTCAGCATCTCCTTCCTTTGAAGGATGCCTGTGATTTTAACCTCCCTGGCTTCTCCAGTGCTTATCTGTGTGCATAAGCACCCTTTGCCCTCCAAGGCCCCATCTCATCCTCTCTGCCTACAGTTGAGAATGATGTGTGCACTCCCAGCTGCTGCTCCGCTGCCTGCCTGCCTGCCATGGTGCTCCCTGCCATGACTAACCCTCGGAAACTGTAAGCAAGTCCCCACTTAAATGCTTTCCTCTATATATTGTCTTGGTCTTGGTGTCTGCGCACAGCAGTAGAACAGTGATGAACAAAGACAACACCTAAGATAAACAACTCACACATCCTTGGAACAGAAAGAATTTGGCTCACAGTTTCAGAGCTTTCAGTCCGTGGCCAATCGGTGCCACCACAGGCGAACAACATAGCAGTGAGAGCACACTCAAGACCATGAGGCAAAGAAGGGAAAGAAAGGGGGCTTCTCATTATTTCTTCAAGGACAGACTCCAGATGATTGAGGAGACCACGGTCACTTTCCAGCAGCACATTTAAACCCAAGTGTTCCGGCTCCTCTTAATTCAGTTGGGCACAAGCTAATAGTGCGAGAAGAGGGAGCTCAGTGGAGAAAAGGCCTCCACAGATCGGTTGTAGATGGGCCTGCAGGGCATTTTCTTAGCAAGTGCTGTGGGAGGGCAGTAAGCAGCGCCCTCCATGGCCTCTGCATCAGCTCCTGCCTCCAGGTTCCTGCTCCATTCGAGTTCTTGCCTTGGCTTCTTCCCTCAATGGACTGGACTCAGTATTTGTAAGCCACACAAATGGTTTCCTTTCCTCCCCAAGTTGTCTTGGGTCAGAGCAGTGTCAACCCTAGGACACCAAGGTACAGCAGTAGCTGTTATGTAGAAAATGTCTTACCCACCTTCAGCTAGAGCTTCACTGAAGACCAGAATACTTTAAACTGCAGGTTGCATTCTGTTACTGAGTTTTGAAATCAGTTGTTTGAGGAAAAAGCCATGGTGAATGAACTCTGGGCCATGCATGTTATAAATACAAGTTCAACCACTGTACTATGTGCCAATAAAATCAATTTAGGGAGTTGTAGTCAACGTTAAAAGTTACAGGAGCCTGGAGAGATGGCTCAGTGGTTAAGAGCACTGGCTGTTCTTCCCAGTCTTCCAGAGGACCTGGGTCCAATTCCCAGCACCCACATAGCAGCTCACAATTGCCTGTAACTCCACCTGCAGGGGACCCACACTCCACACAGACATCATTCATATACGGCCCGGCAACGCTTAAGCATGCATGAGCAATCCATTTTTGGCAGTTCCCCAGTTTTCCTATCCCAGGAAGTCCTAGGTAGCTGTGTTACTATCATACCCTGGGCTCCACAGTCTTCCTCTATGCTGCCTGTCCAGCGTTTTTGGGGCCTTCCTCTCCGCCTTATCCCGTGCACTCCTCCAAGTTGTGCTGTCTTCGGGTATCTGCCATCATTCAGTCTCAGCGAGAGACGTAACAACATCAGCAGAATTACATCTGTCGTGAGCTGCCATCTTTCCAACTCTGAAACCTGGACAGTGAAACACTCCTCAGAACAGTGGCTGAATGTGTTCGAGATGGCATGTCTCAGGAGGATTCCAGGCGTCACACGAAGAGACAGGCTGTGCAACGTTGACATTTAGAAACACCATCTGCAGAAGGAAGTAAACTACAGGATATGGCAATGGCGCTTGAGATACTTTGGCTGTGTTATGAGAATGAATGACGGCTCACAGACACACATGCAGGCAGACTGCCAATGCACATAAAATTAAAATTTCGAAAAAGAATCAGAGCCGAACTAACTATTGTTTCATGAAACTTGTTTTCGTTTATGTACTTAAACATGTATTGTCATATGGTAATTTTTTTCATACTGCCTCAGTATGTTGGGTTCTCAAGTTTATCTCTGTTAATGGGACAGGTCAAAGTTGAAAGCCATTGTTCCACCCCACCTTTTTTTTTTAAATCCCTAAGAGTCTCATTGTGTAGACCCGGCTGATGCTGAAAGTCTTCTTGCCTAGGTCTTGAGGATACTGGTGTTCGCCACTCACCAGTTCGGGTTCTACAATCTTGCCTAGCATGGACAAAGCCCTTGGTGTCAGTTCCCTGTACCACATAAGCAGTGTGGTGCCAGGTGCCTGGGGTCCTGCTCCCCAGAAGCAAAGGCAGGAGGTAGCCTGGGCTACAGAAGACCCCAGTCTCAAAAACAAGCTACCCGAGATAGTAGCTGGAGACTGAAACTCAACGCGGAATCCAGTGCATTCATTTTCAAGCCTGGCTCACATCTGCCTAGTTACTGGGGATCCTCAGAGAAGACTCCTGGGGCAGAGGCAAGCTGGGGACTCCACGGAGGGCGGGGCCTGTGGGCGGGGCCCTGTGGGCGGCTTTTGCGTGAACCTGGGCCAACGTAGGCCGGGACACCTTGGGGCGGAGCCAGCGGGGGGCGGGGGCGCGGTGGGGCGCGGGAGGCGTGCTGCGCCGTTGCTGTGAGAACTGTTGACAACAAAAGGCGTGGGCGCGGCGGGGCGGAGAAAGGCGGCTCCGTGGGGCGCCGGCCTACGAACACCCGGGCTGTCCGGAGCCGGACGGTGTGCCCGCGGACCCGAGGGGCGCGAAGCCGGCGGCACCGGTCTGCGGCGGCCCCACTGAGAGCGGCGGGCGCGGCGGGCGATCGCAGGCGAGCGGGGTCCTGAGGTAGTCGCGGGGCCGGGGCGCGGGCCGGAGGGCGGCGGGGCGCGCGCGGCTGCGGCGTGAGGCGGGCTGGCGGGGAAGCCTCGGTGCGGTGCCCGCCGCCCGCCCGGGGGCTGTTTCCCCACTCACGCCGGGGCCCTTTATGCCGTCGTGAGATGCTGCGAGCTCCGTCATCTGCTGGGAACGCTCCTCTAAGTTCTACACTCCCGCCACACGCCCGGAGAAGCCGGTGTTTGAAGACCCCATTCCTGGCCAATGACAAGGCACGGGCCCAGTACTTACCTTGCATTTGATCACATTTAAAAAATCCAGTGGGTGTGTCCCTAAATATTACCAGCCAGTTAGATTTCCCTACTGTTGGCTTTTGTTTTTAGTTTATATCTGGCAGTGTATAGGTTTCTGAGGACCAAACTGAATCTGAAGAATAGCTGTTATATACAGGCTTTAAAAAACTTGACTGAATATTGTTTATGAGCCATATATGTATGCATAATTTTTAATGATTATAGTAAGTGAATTTCAACTTCATATGGCCACACTGATTCTGTCAGGATTGTTTTCACAAAAACTAATCAATGAGGTGAAAATTTCTGCATTCATCCCTTAGCTTTATAATTAACCAATTCGTGGTCCCCAGTTCCCTCAACTATTTTGAACCAAGCCTAAATGCTGAATTATTTAATTATTAAATTAATTAAGCACTTTGCAAGTCAGATAGACTTTGTAATTTAATTTGTACTGGTAAAGAATCTGTTCTAAAGACTTTGCTTTGAAACGTATGGTTTTATTTGCATAAAGGGAGCCAGTAATTAAATTATATTTTTTATTTTGATATGCAGGAGTCCAGATCTTCCATAAAATGGATGTTTCTCACATTGTTACTGAACATTAAGTAGTTAATCTATTCAGTAAAGTTCAAGCTGCCATGGAAGAAATACCAGTAAAAGTTGCTGTAAGAATTAGACCTCTACTTTGCAAAGAAGTTCTTCATAAACATCAAATTTGTGTGAGGGATGTTCCCAACACCCAACAGATTATCATTGGCAGAGACAGAGTTTTTACTTTTGATTTTGTTTTTGGCAAAAATTCCACTCAGGATGAAGTTTATAATACATGCATAAAGCCCCTAGTGCTGTCGCTCATCGAGGGTTACAACGCAACGGTTTTTGCGTATGGACAAACTGGATCTGGGAAGACATACACCATCGGAGGAGGCCATGTTGGTAAGACTCTCCACTCTCACTTCCCCTTTTATAGCGTGTGTGAAGAATTCATTTTGTTTGTGACTGAGCACTGTTTTATTGGGTGTGCTTTGTTTGACTTTGCCCTGCTGATGAGCCCTAGGCTCGTCTCCTGTTCTTGATGCTTTAAACGCTGGTGTGTGGTCATCTGTGTGAGTCCATCATAGACCTTAAAATTTTGATTTTGATTCTAAGGTCCTGGAAATAGAGCTTGGTTGCTGTGCTTGCTGGCTAAGCACCAGCTACTGAGCTAGATCCCTAAGCCTCGTTTTTACCTTTTTGGTGCAAGGGAAAGTCACTCAGTTGCCCTTAAAACTTATTCTGTAGCACAAGTAGTCTTTGAAATTATGATTCCCTTGCCTCCATCTAGGCTGGTTCCATTTCTTGGGGGTTGTGAATAGTTGAGCAGTAATCAGAGATGTGCAGGTGTCTCCGTGATGTCCTAGAGTCCTTTGGGCATAGAGTAAGGTAACCAGGGCCAGAAAGATGGCTTGGTGGGTTAGAGCACTTGGTGCTGTAAGACGGAACCAAGGTTGAGTCCCAGCACCAGCATGTGGCTCACAGCTATCTCAACTCTAGTACTAGGAAACTCCGGTGCTCTCTTCAGACCTCCTCGGATACCAGGCACACTCATGGTGCACACGCATACATGTTGTCAAAACAGCCACAAATATAACATAAATAATCTAGAAAATAAAAAGCAGCTGAAATAGAAACTTAGAAGATACTTAGGAATATTATAACAGCCATATGGAAGTTCTAGTTCTGGGTTTTGGGGAACTTCTGTACTGACTTTCTTTTTTGCAGCTTTTCTTTTTTTTCTTTCATTTTCTAGAGGCAGGGTTTCTCTGTGTAGTCCTGACTGTCCTGGAACTCACTCCGTAGACCAGACCGGCTTCAAACTCACAGAGATCCACCTGCCTCTGCCTCCCAGTGCTGGGATTAAAGTCATCCATCACCACCACCTGGCTTTTTTTCTTTTCTTTTTTTTTTTTGACTTGTTTATTTATTATTTTGATATATATA